TTTAAATATTAATAATTTATAATTGATTTAAAATATTAATAATTGGTAATTTAAATATTAATATTTTATTCATAATTTAATCATTAAAATTTTTAAATATCAATATTTTATTTATAATTTAGATATTATTATGATTAAAATATTAATACTTTAAATTAATTTTTAAATTCAAAATATTTTCTAATATTTTTTCTCTATTTGCATTTCTAAATTAATATTTTTTGTAATACTTTAAATATTTACTCTTATCTAAATTGTAATAAGATTTATTTTTTCTCTATTTGCATTTCCCATTTTTTTAATTTATATTTTCAATTAATAATTTAATATTTAATATTTTTAAAATATGAATATTTTATTTATAATTTAAATATATTATAATTAAAATATGAAAATATTAATAAATTTAAATTTATAATTTAAAATATTAATTTTATAAGTTTAAGTTATAATTTTTGAAAATAAGTAAGGGAATTTTAGTTCAAAATGTTTAGACTCTATTCCTATAAGTGTGAAATAGCTAATAGTATGGGGAAAAGTGGTATTAGCTATTCCACTTTTTTACCAAGTTTTTGGAATGACTATTCCTTACCTCAAAAACAAACTAAATAAGGGGAGAAAATTTTTCAAAGAATAGTCATTCTCTCAATCAAACATTACGTAAAATTTATTCGAAAACATCATACCAAATAGTGAAAAACCACAAAACAAAATCAAAAAGTTCCCAAAAATCTACATAGCAATCAATCGGACACAAACATAATCTAACTAGCATTGTCCAACCATAACCACAAAATAAAGCTTCAAACTACAAAATTAACAAAACCAAAAAATCAACCCAAAAAAAACCAAAGAGAATAAGGTAAAAAAATCCAAAGAACAATCGTAGACAAATCAAAGAGTGAAATATATAAAGGAAAAAAAAGCTAATATGAGAGGTTGTTTCAGACTTTTCTGAGAACAGAGAGCAAAACAAGAGGGAGAAAATGGAAAAGCGAGAATATTTTTAAATAAAAAATAAAATAATTAATTGAATAAATTTAATAATCACTTACCAAACTACACAATATGGGGATCCTAAGATTATTTTTCAGAAAGTGAAATATTTCTAAATAATTACAAAAGCATAGGATTATCAAGTAGTGATTAAAATTGAAAATAATTTACAAAATTTCATCATTAAAATTAACAAATTTTAATAAGTGTAATTAATATTCATTTTATTTTAATAAATTTATGATATAAATTACGTAGTTGATAAATAATTACTTTTAATTTATTACATTTTCTCAATTTTAATTTTATTTTGTTATTTGAATGATCATAATTAAGATATACAAAAATTAAAACTTTTTGAGAATTAAAAATTATTTAAATAAAAAGCTTTCCCTAACAACAAGGCGTAAGAAATTTTTTAAAAATGTTAGCATTTTAAAATAATTATATTTAATTTACTATTACAGCTATTATTTGTAGTATTTCCAAATTTAAGAGTTCTCCTTTTACTATTATTACTATTACTTTTAATATTATTCAAACATATTGAAAAATTTTTTCTACATTTTATACCAAAATATTTCTTTACATATATAAAATATTGATAAGCAAGATGAAGTTAATGATGTATATATGATATCTAGTTTTTTTTTTCTTACCATATGTTATATATTTTTGTTTTAATTGTTATTATAATATGTAATATTGTTTACAATTCTTAGCTTCAAATGTCAATAAAATTTTAAAAAATTCACATCAATCAAATATTTTAAAAAATTATAATATTACTACAATAAATTTTTCACTCATTATAATTCTCGCTGCATAGCACAAATGCATTCCTAATTTTATATTGTTTCTTGCATAAATGTCGACATTGTGACAAAGAGGCAATAGTTTAACTAAAAAAGCCCTTATTTGATATTCCTTTTTTAAATTTGCTTTTCACTGTTAATACTTTTATGCAAGACTTAATTAAAGTGTTTGGGATCAAGTTCATAAGATATTTTATTAAAAATAATCAAATAAAAATTGAAATAAAAAATAAAACTGATAGACATAAACCAAATGTACAAAATTTGAAAAGTTTATATACTTTTTTTTATAGTATTTAGTGACGAATCTAGGATTTTGAGCGAAAAGTGGTTAAAGAGCGATCAAAGTCATGAATTGAGTCAACAATTTGATTAGGAGAAAAAAAATAATCACTTTTGAAAAAAATTAAATTATATGATAAAATTTTATCAACAATTTAAATATAAATTTTAAACCCCAACAAAAACAAAGAAGTAAAATGGACAAAAAGTAAAAAAACTAAATCTATGTCAATACTGTTGGCAATCTTTTTCTCAAATAATTTAAAAAAAAAGAAAAAAGGGAAAACAAGTTTTAAACTCCAAGAAAAAAAGAAATAAGAAGAAAAAAAAATTTTAAAAAAAAGAAAAAAATAATTCTGAAATTTGGACTTAGAAGGCATTGTGTCACGGGGCGGTTCTTCAGACCACCCACCGTGCGGCTTGGGGTCAACCCTTATCCCGGTACTAGAACTTAAGTCAGCCTTAGTGCTTCAGCATTCACCCAACAAGCAACAAACACACCCACACGCAGCACACTACTTTCGACACCCGCACACGTACACAATGGCTTAAAGCCGGCAAGCAAACTTGCATTAAAGGAAAAGGAGGAAAAGAGAGGCGAGTGCTGGAAAAAGAAAAGCTGAACTTCTATTGAATGAATTGAATGAATTACACAATCTACAAGGGGTTATTTATAGCTAATTTTCCCCCAAATATTTCCCTCCAAAATATTTCATTCCAAAATATTTTCCTCTAAAATATTTAGAAGGGAAGCTAAAATTCCAGCAGCTCAATACATTAAAAGGGTGGGTCTGGTGCGCCTGGTGGGCTGGCATCATCCTAGGCTCCCTGGTGGGTCTGGGCAGCTCACAGGCTGTGTGCCTGGGCGCTGACGGGCTGGTGCGCAGGGGCCTCGCCCAGGCAGTCTGTCTGGGCGCTGTGCGGGCCTACGTGCCCCGTGTCCTGCTGGGCAGGAGCCCCGGACCTGCGTGCCCCGCTCTCATGTTGTGGAGTTGCGTACTGCGCACCCCTGCTGGGCAAGTGAGCCCCGAGCCTCCATACCTGCTCCCATGCTTGGCGCACCCACGTGCTGCGCACCCCTGCTAGGCCGGCGGCTCCGGGCCTACATGCCGCGTACCCATGCTGTGCGAGCTGGGGTGCCGCGCACCTGCTGTGCGAGTTGGAGCGCCTACGCATAGTTTGCCTGGCTCTGTGCTGGCTGGTTAGCCCATGGGCCTATGCTGTGCGCCCCTGCTAGCACCCTGCACTTGCCTTATGCTATCTAGTGGGAGTTCTCTCATAGCAATACTCCCTCCACTACCGACACTCCGGAACACTCTCGGGTCACCACTAATGCGCTGAGTTACGGTCTGTGACAATTGAACCTAGCTTCTTTAAATAACAAAGTATAATATTTGTATTTAATATACATAAAATTTAAAAATTAAGAGGTAGCGCTACCGTCACTGCTAATATTTAATTAAAAAGTTATGACAAAGTTTTATGTTGAATAAGTATTAATTAACACTGTATTTATAATTTTTTTTTACATATTGAAATTTTCAATTTAAAGTTTTGATTTCAAAAAATGAATTTTTATCTGATTTTTTTATTAAAATATCTCACAAATTTGACCAAATCTTGCATCGAGATCCATAGGCTATTGCAGCCATAGAGTCATGGAAAACAATAAAAAAAAAAACTCCTTAATCTAATGAAAACTTAAACAAGCAAAACATGCAAAAACGATGGGGATCGATCCTCCTTTTTGAGTGGTGGCAGCCGACATTGTGATTTTAACTTTGATCCCTTTATAAATTTTCTTTACTGGGTCAAAGCAGGCCAATTTGCAGTGGCGAGTGCATGTTTTTCGATCCCCTGGAGAAAATGAATAATGAAGATATGAAACACTGGGGATGATTTATAGAACAAGAGCCTTGATTCATGTATTCGTATATTTGTGTATCGTCGCTTTCCATCGGCTCCATTCCTGCACTCAACAAAATTAAATGGAGGGAAGAGGCATGGAAATGAAAAAGGGACCAGAGGGCTTTCCAGGCACACTTTTTGTGGAGGTGGATTCGTACAGAAGTGACTCAGAAAAGTACGTGGCGCACGGGTCTCGCATTCCGAGCACAGACTATATCACCATCCCCCCTTTTAGCCTTCCCCTCTCTCTCATCCCCAGCATATTCTTTAGAATGTACTCTTTATTCCCCTTCTATTTTACAATTTATTTGTGCCCTCTGTTATATATTTTATTATCCTCAGATTTGGACGTCAAAAGTTTTTTTCTTACTTACTATTTTCATATTGGGTGGCCCATAGCTTCACTTGATTATTATGACTCCCTAATTCTTTAAGGGCAGTGTGTGTGCTTCGAAATTCAATGGCGTGGTGATAGATAGAGCAAAATGGGAGAGTTATAGCCATGTTGCATCATCAAAATTTTTGAAATTAATTCGGTCATAAAAAGTTTGATATTTCCTTAATTAAACCCGGCAATGATCACACATGAATTCGTCGTTTCTTTTTTGGAACAACGTGAATGGGCTCTTTGTGGTTTAAACAAATTACCTTTACAGGTATTGCCATTTAATGCACTTACCAAGCGGAAAACACCATCCTGATGAAGAAAAGGAAAAAATATCTGGCAAAAAGTCAATTACATCCATGAAGAAAAATCGGCTAATCTGTGGTTAAATGTAATTAAAAAACAATGCAACTTTTTCAACGCAAAACGCAAGCAGTGTTCATCCACGCGTCTCTCTTCTGCCTCTTTTTTGTACTAAAATTTCTTCCTCTTACAAACAAAAAAAGGGAGCTGCGTCTATATATAAAGGTGCCATGTTCATCTTCCAATCCCCACCTTCCTCAACTCCCTCGCCCTCTCCATCTCCCTCTACTTTTAACCAACAGCACCCCCAGTTTTCACTCTGTTAGTGTAAATCTTTCTTTCTTTTCTCTTTTAACTGTCACCCTGCAGCCCAAGTCAGAATCATCCCCAACCCCGAAAAGCACATTCTCCTTGATCCGAACGCTCTCTCTCTCTCTCTCTCCCCCTCTTTCTCTTTCTTATAACTATATATTTTTCATTTTTCATTCATGAAAGAGGACACTAACACCGAACTCTACCAAAACCAACAACAACAACAACCAGGGAGCCAACAGATGTGCAGAACCATACAAGTTGTTGCCACCGTTGACCACGTCGACATGTCGCCGCCGGTCTTCTCTCCGGTGATGGTCGCTGCCAACACTGGAGATGACCTTAACTTGATTCCTCCGTTGAACTTTGCTATGGTTGACAATGGCATCTTCAGGTCGGGTTTCCCTGACTCTGCCAACTTCTCTTTTCTCCAAACACTTAACCTCCGCTCCATCATGTAAGACCAAAGCTTCTGCCTTTATTAAAAAAGTTGATGCTTTTACATGCAAATTTTTGTACTCTCAATTAAAGGGTATTTCTTTTTTTGGGGTTTGTTTGTTTTTTACGATTATTATTATTATTATTGTGTTAGATATCTGTGTCCTGAGCCCTATCCGGAAGCCAACACTGAGTTCTTAAAGTCCAACGGGATCAGGCTTTTTCAGTTTGGAATTGAAGGTTACAAGGTAACTCTTTTCTCTCTCAAAGTTGATTACTTATTTAACCAAATTGGTTCTTAAAATTGTTTTCCAATTTAAGTTTTGATTTGGAGTTGAGATCAAATGTGATTGGCGTAGTTCGTTATGTTTTTGTGACCAAATAATTGCTGAATTTAGTCATTTAGGTGATATTATACTTTAAAGACCTACAGTCTATCATTAGCAAGATAAGCGAATTTTGGTGCTGTGATCGATTGCAGTGTGATAACACTAACGAATGGCTAGAATGATAGGGGGATAGGTGGGCAATAAAGTTAGTGGAGGCTGGATCTTAGTCATCATAGGTGTTACTTTAATCATCCACTAGAGTATCAGGCTTAGGTTTGTATAGTAGTTCTAATTCAATTCTCCAAACTTCATTATGTGAGAAAGGGCTAATGTGTTGAAGATTTTTTTTTCAATTCTCAACAATGCTTTTTTAGCCCATAAACTTTTGGTTGATTAATTATTGCATTTTGTTCATTATTTTATGCTTATGAATGCTTGGGGCTTTAATTGGTATTATTAGGCTTATTTGATTTTTTACATGTGATGGATCTTTTTATGTCCATATGCATTCTACAAAAGTACAAGAACTTCCATTTTGGTATTAGAGTTAATCATGAGAAATGGAATCGGGCATATGGCTGACATGTCAATTGTTTTGTTGTGATCTCTAGCTCTTTGAAATTTTTAATTGCTAAAGCAATTAGTTCCAACATTGGGAATAATGCATTCCTTTTTTTTTCAATAAATTTAACTGTCTTATATTATTGGAAAATTTATTTGATGCTTTAGCTTTAAAAGTTCTAATTGAAGATACTTTCAAGCTGCGCGTTCAGTACTCTCAGATATGGATTTGTGTATTACCCGTGCTTTTCCATAACATTTTGAAATCTTGCTCAATTCAAGAAATTTTTTGGATTCTTTCTTTGAAATTCAGTTGTCTACAACTGAGGTTGGGGCAATGTACACTTGATGACATCAAATTAGGTGTGGGAAGCACAATTTGCTTTTTCATCATGTCAACTGTAGTTGTATCAGTCACTGTTATGAAAGCTATCTGAGCAATTAAGTAGTTTCTACTAACTCAATGAAGTTTGGTGATCCTTATGATTTGGCAGTATCATATAACTACATTGCACTTCCTTTTGGATAGTGGTAACAAAGTAGCCTGTGTTTATGGTAAAATTGTTGCAATTCTTAAAATCTGACGACTACTAGCTAACATTAGCATGATACATAAGCATTCATTCTGGTCTATAGATATGGTTAATTTCATGTGCTAGATGTGTTTGCAAGGAATTGCATATGATCCTTTTATGATTTGAGGTCTTGCTGACAAATACACCAGGTATAAATTTGTTCATCATGTGGTGTTAAATCTGGTTTGGGATCAAAATGGTTATTTGAAAGTGATAGAACCTTTTTGTTGTATGCAACATCTACCCCGTGTAAATTTTGAGATTGAATTCTCTGGTGAAATTTTCCTAAATGAACCACACTTGGACTACAAAGTGAATTATTTTAAAGCCCTACCTCAATCTATGAATAAAATGAACATACAGGAATTAATAATGCCCCATGTTATCTCTTCAGTTTATATGAATTTCAAATGGTAAATACCAAAAGTGAAACACAGGTCAAAACTAAACTCAACAGAGCTAGGCAGTTGGAATTTTTTTCGAAAAGCAACAATTTCATTCCTTGAAGAGGGAATAAAATTCAGCTCCAAACATGCAGTGAGAAAAGAGCTGGAATTGAACTTAAGTTTTGGAAATCTGGAATGCTTAAGCTTTGAGATGATGCCATTGATTAAGTCATCCTATCTCTCTCCCTACCTACCCCCTATAAATGGCTAATAATAGTCAAGGGCTCAGAAAAAAGCAATCATGAAGTTGTAATTGCAATTTGAATTATTTTATGAGGTCGGAGTGTACAGGTGATATAATGAGTAAGAAAGCCAAAAACGAAAAAAGAAGAAAGCATACTGGGGAGACAAAAATAAACTAATAGTTATCTCTTAGTGGATTCACTCTTATTTTCTCGTTCAGTTTTCCTTTGTCATCTTGATCATGCTTTTTGTGTTGGTGATTTGTTTGAGCATGCAGCAATATCTGTGGCATTTGTTTAGAGTTTTTTATTTCTTTTACTAGTTATTATGTAGGAGCTAATTGTAAGTAATCCTGGTAAGTTTTAATACTCTCTTCCATGTGTTGCTTGTCCTGCGGTGCTTGGATCTGTAAGAGATAATTTCTCAAAAACTACTCTTTTTCCTCATATATCCTTTTAGCCATAATAACTAACATGGAGTGCTCACAATCTGCAAAACACCTCTTGAATCCTGCTCTAGAAATAAGAAGATGAAGAGATTTCCTTTTTAAGTAGGCAAAAATGGATCTCGTGATGGGCAAAATGACCATGGAATGGGGTTCAGTAGTCAGTACTCAGACCCTTATTTATCATTTTTGCTGTAGCATATTTCTTCATATCCTTACTGTGTGAGGCATTGTCTTAATATACTGTTATGTGATTTTATACGTCTTCTACCTTTGGTCATTTCAGAATTAGTGGCCAAAGAACTATGCATTTTGGATTTTGATGTCTAGACTTGTTAAGCCTCTATCTACTGTACAGTTTACTTATAGTTTATGGATTATATAACGGTTTTTTGTGGATATATTCTTGTCTTTATCACCAGTTGGGTATTGGTAAAATATGTTTAGCTAGTTAGGTTTTTTCATCATCTTCGCAAGATTACCATCTATTTAGTTCTTTCCCTCAGTCCTTTCAATTTCTATCATCTCAAGTGTTTTCTTTTCCATGTGCTCTTTGGACTAGTAAGCCTTTTCAAGATATATATAACTTACATCAATCGATTGGCATTGCATGGCATTTTTTTTAAGTAAAGGCTGGAAGTGCCTTCCAGATATTTTTATGGCTCTTGCTTCACCTATCATCTCTTATTTTACTGGCTATATGCACTCTTTGCATAGTAGCATTTTCACCATCTTTCATTAGCTTTTTTTCTCTTGCATTGTTTTTGGACTGTGGTGTTAGTACTCTTAATGGAGAAATGGATAAACGACCTAAATTAATAAAGGCTCAGGAAAGTTGCAGTGGCTTTCTTAGGAAGGATATCTGATGCAGCATCAATAATTTCAAAACACACCTCAAGAAAAGATCTGAAATTTCAATCATCAGATTCATAAATCTCAAGTCCAGGCTAAACCTAATTATAGGACCTTCACAAACCTTCTATTTAGCCCAAAAAATGTCTTCCCTCAAAAGTCCTCCATCCATTTGCATTTCCTTGCCAAATCAGCTAGTTTCTACTTTTTCTAATTTCTACATGTGAAGAATGTCCCTTATCAGTCAATGAAGCATATGACAAAATGTGTGCTGATTTTTAATATTTGGAGTTGCATGATTGTGAGTTACTCGTCACAATCACACTAGAGTTAAATAATCTAATTGTTGCAATATGAGCATCTACCAAAAGCCTGGCATAACTCTTGACTCATTGCCGAATGGATATGATTTCAGAATCATGTCAATGAATCACCGTAGCGTGCGAGAAGAAACTAAATTCCTACTGATTGTTTTATATTAAGCCAAGCTTGTGATCCTAAAATGAAATTAGATAATTACACAAAAAAGATGGTAAAATGATCTGCTTCTGCCTCTGCCTGACATTACTGAGTTGGCAAAGATTATGTTAGTATCATCAAATGTATGCTGATTAGCTGTACATTGCAGAAACAGCAATGAAGCTGGATTGCTCATAGATGGGTAAATAAAGTGTCATCTAATGTATGGTCCATTTTAATTGTGAAGAGTTAATGGATATCCGAAATTCATGTCATACGGCATGTAGGTTAATCTTTTATATTTATTTTTATATATATTTATATCCGTTTCTTTGAGCTTTTGAACTAACTACTAGCTATGTTATATATCTGCAACTGAACGTAGGATTGTTGATGATAGGTCTTAACACTGGGCATGCCATCTATTTTCAATCCACCTTCACCATTTAACTGTATCGAAAAGCCTCAGTTCTTACATACTATCCATTAAAACAAGTTTATTATTATTTTGAAATGATATCTTTTGTTAGAAACTAATATACACATATTATCCAGGAGCCATTTGTAAATATCCCAGAGGACACAATTCGTGAAGCTCTAAAAGTTGTCCTTGGTACTACAAGCTTTTAACACTATCACACCTCACCTCTGGCTAAATTAAACGCGGTTTATTATTTTCCATAATTTAATTTTGCCTTTCTGCAATGCAGATGCAAGGAATCACCCAGTTCTAATTCACTGTAAACGAGGGAAGGTATGCACATGTTGGTTCTTCTTTTTATACCTGAGTTTGACAAGTCAATACCTTCTGAGTTTTTGTAATTTTGCCTTGTTTTTGTATTTCCAGCACCGAACTGGCTGTCTGGTTGGATGCTTGAGAAAATTGCAAAGATGGTGTTTGTCATCTGTCTTTGATGAGTACCAAAGGTTTGCAGCCGCAAAAGCTAGAGTTTCAGATCAGAGGTTTATGGAGTTGTTTGATGTTTCTAGCTTAAAGCATCTGCCAATGTCATTTTCTTGCTCGAAGAACAACCGCGTGTATTGAACGGCTTTTGCTTTCTTTCGTTTGCAGAGGAGAATGCTAGGTCCTGCATTGGAATAAATAGGGGAAGGTGATGAGTTCCTGAATTGCATTTTGGCGGTAAAGGAATTATTCTTCCTTTTTCCTTTTCAAGAACAATAAAAGGCGTACATAGTGGCAATGTCCTGTTGTGATGTTCAGTGTT